GATTCCGCGTTGCTGTCGATGAGTGAGATGAGGTCTCCGAAGTCGTCAACAGGAGAGAACTCTTTTAGCCCTATAGCTTGTAATACCACCGCAAAACGCTTATAGACCACGCAGGGAATATGTTGGTATAGAACCACACTAAGAAGTAACTTACTCCGTTTTTCGAGGACAGTTGGTATGATTCATTTACAACGGTAGGAGAGAATAAGATATTTCGGATGAAATCGGAATCAATCGGTACCTTTCAAATTTTTATTTTGCGAGAAACAAAATTTGATGGTTGTGTTTTTCCAAATTTGTTATTGACGATTGAAAAAAAAACTTTGATTAAAGATTTTTAGAAAGATTCGACCAATTTCAACAGACAAAGTTTCAATGTTAACAGACGATCAGTAGCAAGTAAGCAAGTAATATCCATTATACACATATATACAAGTTACACTGGAGCGCTTATTAACGATCACGCGCACATCATGACTAAAATAAAAATGCTATCTGGAGTACCTTGTATATATGTATTAAAAGTAATATTATTTGGGTTAACATACAATTTTTTATTAGGATGGTTGTGGTATGTTGCGTAGAAGGATGTAAAACAAAAGATTTGGATGGAATAAAGATGAGAAGTTTCCCTGCAGTTGATACACCAGTGTTTCAGCAATGGAAAATTGCAACAATGAATGTTGAATTAAGAAATATGGACGATAATGATATAAAGAAAAAGAAGGTCTGTAATCTTCATTTTAGTGATAACTATAAAAAAAGAACTTACTTCTTTTGTTATGATATACCTATGATAACTGAAAATATTATTAGTCCTGAAATACAGGGTTTGGAAAATGATATTGATGAAAATTCCCATATAGAAAATTTTGTACAAAAAGGGGTAGTTAATGAGAAGAGTACTAAAATATTAAAAACCATTATTAAAAAGAAACATGGCAGCAGAAAATCACTTCAAAATAGAATATATTATTTATCAAAAGTAAACAAAATATATAAGGCAGAATGCCAAGAATTTATAAAACTTAAAAATTTAAGTGAAGATGTGCAATTTTTTTTCAACGCCAATTGCAGAATTCCGGAAAGAAAATTAGGGGAGAAAATTATTCTCTGGAAGTATTTATAAACAAAGTAGGTCCTGCTATAAATACTTATCGCACATTTATACTTATCGCACAGCTATTACCATCATTAACCACAATCGAGAGTTTTAATGGGAGAATAAGAATAGACTCTGGAATAAATGATACATTCAAGTCTCATATTAGTGAAAATAGTAAAATTCAAGAAAGGCTTGTCACCTTAATTTTTGACGAAATGTCTGTAACTCCACATTTAGCCCATTTACCGACAAGAGGGATGCTCACTGCTTTTGAGGACGATTGCTATGTAAGAACCAGTAGAATAGCAGACCATGCGCAAGTATTTATGGTACGAAGTGTCTATGGAAAATGTAAATTTCCAGGAACTTATACATTTACTCAGGGAACTACAAAATCTACCGTAATATCCAAATTTATAAAAGAAATAGTGACAAGGTTAACAGAAATTGGGTGTATAGTTTTGGCACTTGTATGTGACCAAGGATCTACAAATTGTGCTGCAATTAATTTGATACTCAATGATTTTTATAAAAAAATACATAAAAGAAAATAAGGAACCAAAGCCAAAAGTTATTAGAATCGGTGAAGCAGAAATTGTTCCTTTATACGATATATGCCATCTAATTAAATGTATGCGAAATAATTTACTAACTAAAAATTTGAAATTTATTTTGAATGGAGAACCTTTGACTGCCAATTGGGACATAAAAACTGCATATTTCATAGATGCACCAGGAGGATGCAAGAAGATCGATGAAGAAAATTACAGCAAGACATATATATCCCGAAAAAAATCCAAAAATGAAAGTTTCGTATGCAGTTCAGGTATTTAGTCAGACAATAAGTACGGTCATAGAACTTATGATACTGTGGAACTTATCATGTCCAAATGGAAAATCATTTACTACAAATTCAATGGGTACAGCTTTGCTATGTGGTTTTCTAAATCAATTATGTGATACGTTGAATCTAGGCACATTAGAAAAAAATAAATAAATGAAATAATGAAACAGCCGCCTGTATTACAAAATTTTGTTATAACTTTAAATGGAATAACAAATATACACAGTATTTTACTGAAAAAAAATAATTTAAATTCTTTCCCAACTCAATCTTTCAATCAAGATCCACTAGAAAACACATTTGGCCAACTTAGACAAAAAAATATCAAATATCACAAAACAAATATCAAACCATCCTGTAATCTATTTATTACCCGATTTTCCACTTTTATAATAAATAGAATTACAATTAAAAATAGAACAGGAACTAATTGTAAAATAGATTTTTGTGCAACGTTAAAGACATAGAACCATTTATGAAGAAATCGTATGAGCCATCAGCAAACCCCCACAAAATTACAGTACTTACTTTTTTCCAAATTGTCTGGAGGTATGTTGAAATCTGTAGAAGAAATTATTAGGAAGAAAAACTGTAATATTTGCAATACAAATTTGTATGCAAAGGGAGTAATGGAATTTAATAAATTAGTAGATTGAAATTCATTTGATCGAAAATATTATATGACCCATTATTTAAAAATTATGTAAGAGAAAATATTAATTGGAAATTTTGTAAATGCCGACACACCAATGATTTGATCGAAATTATTGTGGAACAAGGTACACATACATTTTTTTTGTATTTATTTAAGTTGTATTAATAATATATTAATAATGTATTAATAATGTATTAATAATGTATTAATAATGTATTGAATCATAAAACAGAAATTTTCAACGAGATAAGCTGCAGCGAGAAATTTTGTCATATGCAAGAAAGCATAAATGAACTCACCGAGAATTCGATTTTTTTTCTATTTTTGGGTTGTATTGTGTTGTAAAATAAATTTGTTAATTCTGATTATATTTTGTATTTTTATATTTTTTTTTTTCTTCCGCCTGCTACCTCCCTCTAGGAGGAGCCTCTTCCATTTAGCTGCGTCCTTTCGACGCATTACGCCAATCGCAATATGTATTGTAGTGGAAAGTTTAGAGGATAGGTGGAGTACGAATCGGGGTCCCGGCGATTCTGAAAAGATGTTGGGACCTCGGAATGGTTGTTAGTGATGATTAGCTGTTATTTTATAAGGAAGTATCCGTGGTCAATACTAAATTGGCCTTAAAAATTTCAGGACGATTTTCCGCTAAAAGAGAGTCTATGGAAGTTGGCAACTGTATGTTCATAGAAGAGATGGTGGACAGTAGATGTCTTGAAGATGCTGCGTTGTTTGGACATCCAAATAGGACGTGGTTGTCTGTTCCTGTCTCTCCACAGGAGCAGAGATCGGTGTTGGCCAGTCTAACTCTATGAAGGTGAATTGTAGCGAGGGTGTTTGTTCACTGAAGATGCTGCTGATGGAGGACAGAGAGTCAGAGAATATTGCGACATATTTGCACCATGTATGACGGAGGCGATGCTCACTGCTCTACAGATTGCGTATAATTCCGCTGTGAAGATAGAGCAGAAAGATGGCACTCGCAGATGTTGGACGCTGGAATGGCTATTCCGTATGTGACGGATTTCGGAGAGTTACGTATTGAGCCATCTGTATAGATCCTCAGAAATCCATCGTAGTGGGACTCCCGAACTCAGCAAACATTCTGTCGTACGATTTTCCAAATTCATCCCTTTTTTTGGAGAATTTCCGGAAGGAGACTCGCAGTGGCAGTACTGGAGGATGCATAAGCGAAGAGCTTGATTCTGAATGCGGTCGAGGACTCTGAGTGTCGATTTAGCACAATGAGAGTAAATAAAGCAAGCATAATCCAGCCTAGACAGTATGAAAGCCTTAAACAGGGTCAGCATTGTGATCGCAGCCCCAGTCTCTTCCCGACACCGCTTTCAAGATGTTAAGACCATGGAAACATGACTGAGATAACTGTCTGGCTTGGGACTTCCAAGAAATCCAGAATCACGCCCAGAAACCTAAATTAATTCACAATCTCGATGGCCGATCCGTTGATTGTTAATAACGGCTGTGGTGGTGACCGTTTCCTTGTAAAAATCATGGCTTTCGTTTTAGCCGGAACTGCCTCCATGTGTCTGTCTCCCAGGTAATTAGATATATTGTCTAGTGCTGTGTTCATGGTTTCCTCCAACTGGTCACTGTCTGCTCCTGCACAACTGATGGCCAGGTCATCCGCGTATGATTTCAGGACAGAGTTTTGTGTATCTTGGCGAGCAGAGCACAGATGTTGTCGTTGGTGCCGCGGCCTTTCCTGAATTCCGAGAAAGATGTTGGAAGAATGGAACGAGACTCGACGAACCTCTCCAATCTAGTTTTCAGCATTACCTCCAAGCATTTTTTCACCGAGAATATCAGCGCAATCGGTCTGTAGCTGCCTGCCAGATCGGGGGCGGCTCCTTTCTTCAAAATAGGCACTATTTTAATTATATACCATGCTGAAGGGAAAGAGCAGTTAATGAATGCTTCATTATACAACATCAGGAGTCTCTGCTTTCCCACTTCCGGAAGATTCCTCAGCATTGCCGCTGTTACCAGGTGAGTTCCCGGTGCTGAATCCTTGGCACGACTCAAAGCAGCAGTCAGCTCTCCGAAATCAAATGGCCTGGTCATCTCATCATCAACGCTTGGAGAAGCGGACATGAGAAAGTGTTCCGGAACTCGAGCAGAGTCGGGAGCTAATTTCCTGAGGAATTCCTCATGCCAATCCTTGTTCGCATCTCTGTTCAGAGGATTTGTCTTCCTATTGTGGTGATTGAACGCCCTAACTTTCTTCCAAACGTATGAAATCGGAGAATCCCTGCTTAGTGTCTCACAAAAGGCTCTGAAGTGAGCTCTCTTTTTGGACTTCAACAATTTCTTTGTTTCAGCTATCGCTCTGTTGGCAGCTATTAAGTGCGTCATTCTCCCGGTGTTGTGAAAGACTTTCAGTAGCCTTCTCCGTTTGGCAACAGGCATTGAACATTCGTCGTCCCACCAAGGGCAAGATGGAACTTGGTTGCTGGATTGGATTTTGAATTGGCTTTGGCCGCCTCGACGACGACAGATGTCAGGGTGCCCAGATCCATATCTGGGTTGTTGTTGAACTCCTGCTCCAATTCAGCACTGTACTTCCTTTTAGAGCGAATCCTTTTAGAGTAGATCCTAGTGGACGATGAAGGCTGCAGGGAATCAATGACTTATTGACTTTGCTGACGAGGAAGACTGAACTCGCATAGTATGGGGTAGTGGTCGCTACCGAAGGTGTCTTGTCTGGTGCTGGAACTTAAGATTGAGCGCCGCTTCTGGCGATGCAAGCAACAGGTCCAAGATGGAAGGAGAACCGTGTTTGAGTCTGGTTGGTCGCATGTCGTTCAGCATGACTAGTCCATGCGCATCTATGGCTGCCATCAGCTCCCTGCCGTTGGTGTTGTTTGTGGCATGACCCCAGTGCGAGTGGTGAGCGTTCAGATCACCCATCAGGATGAATGGCCGCTCGGCATTTGAAAGAAGACGATCCCAGGCATCCCGTCTCATGTAAACATTTGGAGGGATGTATGCAGATATTATGAGCAGGCCGTCAATTTTGGTTTGTGCGAATTGCGCATTCGTAGGATGTCTGAAGCTGGGTATGGAGATGGAGGGATGTATGCAGATATTATGAGCAGGCCGTCAATTTTGGTTTGTGCGAATTGCGCATTCGTAGGATGTCTGAAGCTGGGTATGGAGATGGAGGAAGCAATCGAGGACTTCACCAGGATCGAGACTTCGCCCTTACCACCTTCGCGTCTGTTGTGAAGAGCTTTATAATTGGGAACAGAGCATATAACACCTGGACGTAGCCAGGTTTCATTTAATAAAACGATATCAATGTCGTTTGTGTCACATATTCTGTTTAAGTCTGATTGGTTGGAATGGATGGATCTGATGTTCCAACTAAGGACTGTCACTTTCGGATCCATTTTCGCTACTTGTGTGAGTGGAAAATATCTGATATGTGTGAGTCAAGGCCTTTATGAGAGATTCAATTTCTGGTACTGAGTTCTTGTGAAACCGAGAGCGACCTTTTTTAATTCTGTGAAGCAGGACTTCTAATAGGGCAATCGCTTCCTCATCGGAGTCAACAGCTTCATCCGCAGAGTCTGCAGGGNNNNAAGAATTGTTTTGTCTCGACCTCGGAGATTTCTTTTTGTGTAGATTGTTTGATTGATCTGTATTTTGACTTGAGCGGTTATTTCTATGTGCCGATACAGATTTAGTGAAATTTCTTTTACTTAGAGGGACAGGGGAGGAAATAACTGATGCATACGATCTTTTGGTAAAAACTGAAGGGTTGTTGGTTCGTGGAACCTCTTGCTCCTCGTTTGTAGCTGGAAAATCTCTGATATTAATGTTTTGTCTTCTCGGGCTTACAGCCTCTCTCGCTTCGTATAAAGACAGTACAGTTTTTATAAGAAAATCTTCACATTCTTAGGATAATATACATAAGATTATTTCTTTTGTGAGCAAAATGGCAAGTATAGGCATTAAATAGTTGTTAGCAGTTCATACCGGAAGGTCTGCTACCTAACTCTTCTCCCTTTTTGTTCTCATGCACTCTCTACTTCTCCATCAGTCTTAAAGTGTATGTGTGCACAACAGGCAAATGCAACGCAGAGACAGATGAATCCCTACTTGGGTCGTACCTGTCTTGGCACATAATTCCATCCCCATCGAGTCGCTTTCCCCAAACACAATTAAGTCCAACAGGTATTCTGCCACCTGCCGCATCCGTCCCATTTAGCAGTTGGTAGGGTCTCGAAGAATCACCCTCCCAACGTTCGCTAGCCCTCTTTTCATAAATTAACTTGGTCTGCGCACTTTCAACTGCATCATGAAATTGTAAATTCTACGTGATCATCAACTATTTCCAATTGAAACTGTCCATTTTGTATTAAACTTTACCTGAGGTTAAATTCAATTATAAAATATAAATCAACTGTAAATGAAAATACTTATTGGATCACTTTTAATAATAATAAAACAAAAATTCTCCATTGTCTTTTAAGTTAATGGAATCTTAAATTATTTAAAGTTCACAGTGAAATCTAAATCAAATTGTTTAGATAATTACTATTATATTCGGCAAAATACAATAATATATTAACATTACGAAGAAAAAGTTTCTTTGAAATGTTTGTGGACATTTCGTTATCAATCAATAAACGATTAGTAAACTTTGTTATGATGATTCCAATAAAATTAAATCAAATCTCAGAATTTTCCAAAATTGTGGATAATACAGAAGAGACTGATTGAATACCGTCAAAAAAACATCATTATCATTGCTCAACAATACACTTTCGTGTTCGGTCCAGTAGCATGACGGTCTTGATGGACATGACCGCAAACATCATGAAAATACTAGACAATCACAGGTATACAGATGGTGATTTTTATGGACATGAAAAGGCACCATTCCAAAAGAAATGTTTTAACACATTGACGACGGCATGACCCACCAGTGGGTCATTAATTATAAATAATAGTTTTGTTGCTATGTACGCCACTGATTTTGACTGAGTATAACTCAAATATCTTAATTCAATTACTTAATT